TCACGTTAATCAGCTATCAGCGGCAAATATTGTTGGTTTGACAGGAGGTGGTTTTGATTTAAAGTCGCTATTTCCGGATCAGATTCTGTCAAAAGCAGAGAAATTTGTCCTGAACAGCTTCAAAGCTTCTTTCACGCCTAAGCCACGATTTCATATATTTAACATAACGTGTGTGTTCGAAGCAAATCTCACCGACGTCTGGCTTCCATTGGGAGTAACTATTCGACACATTCGAGTCAGCCTGTTTATAAAGAATCCCTTTCATGCTGCCAAGAAAACTGTCATACCTACGATTTATGTCGAGATACAGCTTGGCAAAGTGGTTCTTCCCACAGTTCTTTCTGTGCACAAGGATTTTGTACTGTTAGAAATAGCAAACCTTGCAGAGCAGGCTTTAAATATATACGACTTGGCAACTCTAATTGGTGGCGAGCAACTGTTGAAAGTTGTTCCAGTCGAGTTCTTCAGCTTTAAAACAGTGACTTTAAATAGCTTGAACATAACGTTCAACAAACCCCAATTCAATGTTCTCAATGCAAATATTCGATGTGATCTTCACGATTTCGATATCGGTTTTGGTTTTCCTCTACCACTGGCTGATCCGTCCAATATATTTAAAGCAAACCTTGCTGTTCGAAACTTGGTTCTCAGCTTAAAGCAAAACAAGGATTGGAAGCTTACTGCAGACATCACGGCGTCTTTTAAAGGAATACCATTGGAAAAACATTTCAGTGATTTGCACGGATTGATTACCGTGACGTCACGTTTGGCCATAGTTACGCTAAAAGAAAAGTTCCTAGACATCAGGATAGATCTAAAACTTGCTGGGATAGATTGTCACTTAACAGTGAAGTTTTTGGATCCAAAACTTCTGTTTGCCACACCACGAGAAGCTGACCTTGAAATATCCTTAGATGTTACGGGATTTGATGCGCTTAATACGCTGCTTCCTTTCAAAGTGTTCAAGGACAGATTACAAATGGTTGTCTCTATAACAAAAAAGACAGGAATGGCGATCAAGCTCAAGACCGTGCCAATTCTGGACAAGCTAATACCTTGCAAGAAAGCGGAAGGCGAAGAGTACATCTGCGATTTTACTTGGCTCTGTCAGAAGGATTCCTACGTGAGGCTGAAACTCCCTTCCTTTGCATATTCCAAGGATGGCTTTTCGGCTATTATTAATGCTCAGGGCTTAGACAAATTGTGCATTCCACTGACGCTGCCTATTATGCAACAATTCTTTAAAAAGATCCCTTTCCTTTCTAACCTACTGAGACAGAACATTCCAGTGTGGCCTCCTCCCGATATCACCGGCTCCTTAAATAGGATTGGGTGTAACATTGACAACCTACCAAGAGGCATGGACAGATTCAGAAGTCCAAAATTCCCGAAAGAAATAACCGTAGTCTTATCAGTCGCTCAGAACGGCCCACTGACGTTTAGTCTACACGTTCAAAATGGAGAGTCAGTGGATGTGGTAACGCCAATAACACTGACAAGTGATTTGGCAGCCATGTCGTTAAGTCGATTCACAATTGGTTCCGCCTTTGGGGTGCCCTTTGTGGACATCGATGCTGAAGTGTACCTCTGGGATCTGAAGTATGTAATACTCCTGTCGCGTCTTCTAAAGGATAATCCTTTACTTATAGACGCAGGTGAAATGGAAACACGCATAATCTGCAAAGACTGCTTCTTTATCATCAAAGGTGTTTGGCCGATTCCGATTTTTGCAGCACCACTTTCCGTCAGCTACGCGACTCTTACTGATGTTAAAGCCCAAGCAAGAATATATCATAGAAGACCTCAATTCAAAGACTTTGGAACAATTGCCTCCCTTCTCGTTGGCCTTTTGAGGTATTATACAGATAGAAACTATTTACTATCTTTGGACGATTTTAAAACTGCTAACAGTACTTTACTTGTTTTGAAACTGTCGCACAACAATGATAAGACTATGCTCCAGTTGCCGAAGTATACAGGTGGCAACAAGACTAGCTTGAACGTCCCTCCAATAGATGGTAAGATGTTTCTCATTGGTTGGATGAACTTTATGAAAACGTTCGAGCCTAAATGGTTATTGCAGATCGTTCCGCTCAGATATCGCGTTTTGGACGTTTCTTTTAACATTGGTCCTTTCAGATGGCCTGTGTTGAAATTTGCAGTCTCTTCACCAAACGAGCTAAAGAAGAACAAAAATATCTGGCCATATCCTGTAACGGAAACTGGAGACGATGCTTTACTGATAGCTTTTTCTGATCTACCCCTTCTTTCCACTGAGGTGGCGTTTCGAGTGAAGAATTTTGGTAATGCTGGCGTCTCCATACGACTGGATGGTGGTATAACGAATCTGGTTGAAATAAGTCTTAATGCCAAGGCAAATATCAAGCTCGAGAATTCGCCTAATCCACTGGCAATCTCCGCAAAAGGCCAAGTAAAGCTAGCTGATGAGCCTCTTTTGGTTGGTGAGATGAACATAACCAAAGACACGATAACTGTTGTTGGACAGTTGATATTCAATTTTCCGGGTGTCCTTCAATTCGGTGGATCGGTCAAAGCTGCATTTGGTCCTGGCCTTGTGTTTGTTCTAGATGCAAATGTTGATGTCAAGCTCCTAGGGGTGAAATTGCTCGATTCCCGACTTTATATAATGGATTCTCCGTCAAGATCAGTTACACGGGCCAAAGCTCTGTTCATGGGATCTAGAATAAATATTGAACTTATTAGACGCGGATTATCCTTAAGCGTTAGAGCCCAGGTAAATATTGAAGTTCGTCTACGAATTGACATCGGCAAAATTGAAGTTTTGGGAAAGGAAGTGGGAAGAATTGTTTTGAGTACTCGCTTTAACTGCGACTTGAAGATTTCAGCTCCTGGTAAAAGTTCGATGAGAGTGTCATTTTCGTTTATGGAAACCAACATTCAGCTTCCGTTGTTAACTTTCAACTCAGAACAGGCCACCCCTAATAGAATATCATCACATGTTATTGACTTTGTCAAGAAAGAAGCCCCTTCCCTGATTAAAGATCTGTTTCTAAAAAATCCTGGTCAGTTGTTGGGTTCACTCGCGAAAGGACTGTTAAACTTCGCTGGTAATGCTGGAGAGCTGGTAAAAGACCTGTTAGCTAGAGGATTCAAACTTGGAGTACATTTTGTGAAAGACCTCGGAAGTTTCTTTAATAACCTTGTCGATACAGAAAAGGCGTTAGCCGAGACTGCAGAATATGCCACTAAAGCTGTCGCGGAAGCAGCAAAATTGACAAGAGAAACGGCTCAGAAGGCCGTAGAGACTGTTAGGAAAACAGTTCAACATGCTTCGAAGGTGGCAGAGAAAGCAGGCAGAATACTTATCGAAGCGGGAAAGGATTTAGCGGGAGCTGTAGCAAAAGTCATACGCCTCGACAGTGCTGTGCAAGAAGCAAAGCGAATTTTTCAAAATGTATCGAAGGAATTGACAGCCGTGGTCAATAGAATCGCTAAAATAGTCGACCAAATAGCATTTGAGATAGCCCGAGGGCTTCGAAACTTGGCAGGAAAAGCCATAAAATCCTTAAGTGGATTGTTTGGTGGTAAACGTTCAATCCACCGCCGGGATGCTCTGTCTGAGGAAAAAAGAAATAACGAAAGAAGAAAAAGACAGTTACAGAAAGATGCAAGCGATCAGCAAACACGTGTTAGATCGAAAGAGAGGGAGCTCAAAAGGGCAAGATATGACGAGAAGTTGAAGGAAAGAAAGCGAGACGCAGATCGACAAGACGCCCTACGCGCTTCTGAAAACCTCAAAAAGGCTAATGAAGACAAAGCAGATAAGATAACTGCCCTGGACACAATTATAAAGGAAGGAAGGTGCGCAACTGGTGAGAATAACTGTCATCCAAATGCTACTTGCCTTCGCACAGGATCAGACGGCCAGTCATTTAAATGTGAATGCAGACGTGGATGGATCGGGGATGGTGTTCTCTGCGAAAGACCCATCAAAAGTTTGGCGGTAATATCCGATAGTCCAAAGGCAGTTGGAGAAGACGTTTCATTCTCTTCATTTGCGCTCTCGGGTACAAATGTTCAATACAAGTATAGTTTTCACGGAGCATTCAGTCAATATGGCTTCGCCTCAAATACCTTTACCTCGCCCGGCGTATACGTTGTAAATGTATTCGCTCGAAATAAGGTCAGCAATGGCATTGCCAGTGAAGTAGTGGTCATTCAAGTATCGGTCACAAATATCACTCTTCAAGTGAGCGGGGATCTAAGAGCTTGCCGTTCAGTAAATTTCCTTCCATCAGCCAGTGGGACAAACGTCACGTTTTATATCGACTTTGGGGATAACACATCGCTTCACAACGCCACTGAACAAGTATCGCATTACTTCTTGGGATCCGGACAGTTCGTCATAAATGTCACAGCAAGCAATCTTGTCAGTAGCATAAGTGACACATTTGTTGTCAACATTTTAAGCACTCCGTGCGATCGCCTGTACTGCGACATCTGGGCGTTAGAGAGGAATTTTCCAGAAAAGTCTTTCACCCAAATTACATCATTGGCCTGGTCACTCTCGCAATCAGCAAAAACCGGTTACAGAGAGCTACGCCATAACAGGATTTGGAAGTACTTATCAATGTTTTATCCTGTGCCCTACTCTGTTTTACAAGAAATCGACATGGACAGAATCGTAAGAAAGATTAACGCTCGATACAGCTTTGGCGACCTCCACATTGAAATTGATTTTATTTTGGCGGGGATACTTTCATCGAAAGTAGAGAACTTAAGGCGTTTTGGTCAAAATGAAAGTTTTCTTGTTAATCCATTAATGCACAAGCCACTGCAAACTTTCACATGGATTACGGCCGTACTTCTCAGTACAGAGGATTTTATCAGCACGTGGAATACGTCAATGGAAAGAACGTCCTTTTGCCGTAAGCGACTTCCGAAATCAACAATTAATAGTGCTATCGATGGGTACATTCTTGGTTTGCGGAATATTAATTCTTCAGAAAGCGAAAAGCTTTCGAACATTATACACGATTATTATTGCCCTTTAAAACAAAGCTCGCGATACAACTGGAGCAGGAGATACCAGGCGTTCTACGATCTTTCAAACCCCCTGAGTAACTATGAAAAATGGGATCCGTTCATGATCGTTTCCACTGTATTGAACATGACGTCCAGTTTGCAAGGTTTCCTCTCCCCAATAAAGGACTTTTGTCTGCCCTACTTCATGGATGTGTTGTGGTATGAGCTCAACATAACAAGGCCTCGGAGCAAAACAATGGGAGAAGACGTTTGCAACATTCATAAAACTTGTCAAAACTGTCTTTTCAGTGCAGCCACAGGTAGATGCTTTTGGTGTGAAGGTTCACAAAGATGTCTTTCCAATAGCAGGCGTTTTTTTTGTAGCCGAGACCAAGTATTTCACAAAACTCCCTGCCCTAAAACTTGCCTCCGAAATCAAAAATGCTCTCTATGTGTTTCCAGCTTAAAGTGCGGCTGGTGTGGCTCTCAGTTATATGACGACAACCCTCTTTGTACCGAGGGCACACCAACAGGTTCAAGATCTCTGGCTGTATGCAATCCAACAAGTTGGTTCCATGGAACGTGTACAACACCTTGTCCGGTAAACCAAGGTCGCCTATGCAGTGGTAGAGGTATTTGCAAAAATGGCCGGTGTATTTGCGTGCCAGGCTTTTATGGGAAATATTGTTCAAAACAAGGCTGCGTTATCAGGACGAAACAAAACGATACTCTCCGTGCCTTATCTGTGTGGTCAAACATCAAGGAAGCTGAAATTCGTCTGGCAAATATAGTTCACATTGGAACCTCACATATAGCCGTCAATTCACCTGTAACGATACCAAAACCAGAAAGCGATCCAATTTGTTTTAGCAGCACTACAAGGGCAAGGTTTAACCACATGTTTCCAAGAATTCTAAGAATTTCACATGACAGGACTGGAAAAGATAGCTTTTGTGGTCTCTTTAGATCCATATCGCCTGAAAACACTTCACCATCTTCGTGTGAAAGCATGGCAACCAAAGAACGTTGTCTCAAGTCGTCTAGTTGTAATTGGAACATCAAGGAACCATGCACTGGAGCATTGTTGGAAGGCTGCTTTAAATTGACGCATTGGCTTGATTTGCTTGTCACTGAATCACAGATTATCTATTCTCCAATATCTGGAAACGTCAAACTAGGAACTGACAGCATCGAGATCATTGGCTGGCCTCAAAGTGAGTGGGAAGGTTTTATTGTTACTCTCTCTCATTTTAGACCTCGCAACATCACTAGTGTTCAGAGTGGGCAAAGTGTTGGAACAGCAATGTCAAGCAAAGGCTCAATACTACCAAATTTTGTGAGAGTGAGTGTTGCGAAAGGCGGGAACTACAGAGACCCCTTAGCGTATCTGCTTCCATGCAGCCCTGGCTGCTCGCAAGCGGTGCACTTCTTCAATGGCAAGTGTGATCAAGCCTGTAATAGAAAAGCATGTAACTATGACAGTGGAGATTGCTTATCTCTCTATTCTAAACAATCTCACTTCGTATTAGAACCGAGAAGTATTCACGAGATCTATACGCCAACTTCGCTTAACATCTTATTCAAATTGCAAAAGATTACTGGGGAGAAATACATTCGAATCTCGCGCGAGCCACTCAGCGTGTATTCTCTCGCAAAGCTGGTGGTTCTCGAAATAATCAAGTCATCCGATCTCCGCTCTACGTTAGTTTACGGAAACTATAGGGGTGAGATTGTTAAACTTGTTGGCCTTTTATCATCTTGGAACATATCACTGGAAAAGATGACGTTTCTAACAACACAAAAGATAATTGAACTTGGAGTAGATAATGTATCTCCGCATGGTAGAAGTGGTACAGACTACGATATCGCTGAAATTGATACTGACACACTACAGAACTACAGCAACTTCCATGTTGGCCTTGAAATACTAACCAAGTCCCATTTATTAGACTTTACCCAGGTTACAAATGTTAGCAAACCTCACATCCCTTATTTTCATCTCCAAATACCTCGCGAAAGCATGGATAACAGCAGACTCAGCCGTTTCGACCCTACCCTGCAGGCCACACCTAAATGTAATTCTTTAACCTCCTGTTCCGGACATGGTATTTGTTTGGCTAATGCAAGTTGCAAGTGTGACCTGGCTTATACAGGCAAAAAGTGTCAGATGAACACCTGCCCCGGCCGCTGTTCTAGTCATGGTACTTGTATCGAGGGCGTGTGTGTGTGCAGTCTCGGTTGGGATGGAGTCGACTGTTCAAAAGTCAAGTTATGCACGCCCCTTTGTCCCGAGAGTTGGATTGGTGATGGAGTTTGCGATCCCGATTGCAATATACCAAAGTGTTCGAGCGACAAAGGAGACTGCCAAGATGTGTGCATGTGCCCTAGTTCTTGGCTTGGGGACGGGTCGTGTGATCAGAAGTGCAATAAAACAGTATGCAAGTACGATGGAGGTGATTGTGTTGAAGAAGAATGCAGCGCTGGATGCCGATCAGATATGTTGGCAGACGGCTTTTGTGATCACCAGTGCAACACGGAATCTTGCGGTTTGGATAAAGGGGACTGCGGTCAAATCTCAAACGTTAACTGTGCTTGTAGCAAACAACTTCAGGGAAACGGAATGTGTGACGAAGAGTGTAACGTTGCCACCTGTTTTTACGACTATGGAGACTGCGTCCAACAGGCAACGGGAGGTAACTGCCCGCAGGCATGTTCGCCACCAATGATTGCAAACGGCTTCTGTGACTTATCGTGTAATGAATCCGCTTGTAACTTTGATGGTGGAGATTGTAAGCCTACTGGTTTGACTACAGAGTTGTGTTTTGAAGGCTGCCTTCCGAGTTTTCGAGGTGACGGGGTATGTGATTCTGCTTGCAATGTACAGGCCTGCGGATTCGATAACGGAGATTGCCCTAAGCCTGTTGTTCGAGAGTGTAGTCCAGGATGTAAACTGGATATGGTGGAGGACGGTGCCTGTCAGTCACAGTGTGAAGTGGAAGAATGCTCATTTGATGGCAACGATTGCCAGTGTGCACCGGGTTGTATGAACTCAACGTTGGGAGATGGAGTTTGCAATGTGGAGTGTTTCGTTGAGTCTTGCGATTACGACAACATGGACTGTCAGTGTTCTTCTAAGAGTTGCCCGAAGAGCTTTGTTGGTAACGGACACTGTGACGTCGAATGTAACAACAGAATTTGCGGCTTTGATGGAGGAGACTGTACATGCTCAGCGGGTTGCTCCATGACATCAATAAGTGATGGAACCTGCGATTCAGTTTGTGATACGAAGCTTTGTGATTTTGATGGCTTGGATTGTGGAGGATGTGAGTCTGAATCCCATTCAAACATTTGCGACGAAAACGCCTTCTGTATTGTGGTTAACAAGTCGTTGCCCTTTGTGCAGTGTCAGTGCAAAAGTGGATTTTATGGAGATGGCTTCTCTTGCGTAAAAAGAGGAAACTGTTTCAATGGGAGTGACATTTGTTCAGGACAGGCAACCTGCCTGGAATCTAACGGAACATTTGAATGCTATTGCAACCAAGGATGGGTTGGAAATGGTATTTTCTGTGAGAACGTGGATGAATGTAAAGATGAAAGTCATAACTGCAGCATAAACTCCAGATGTATCGATTTACCAGGAGGATATCAATGTTTATGCAAGACAGGGTGGAGCGGGACAGGTCGCAATTGTACAGATGTCAACGAATGCGAGCTAAATAAGCATTCTTGTTGTGAAAACGAAGACTGTGTGAACACTGAAGGCAATTATACTTGCATTTGCAAACAAGGATGGCGAGGAATAGAGAATTCTTCGTTTCCAGAAACACTAGGAAGGTGTGCCTTTAACACAAGCTCACTGTGTATTGATATAGATGAATGTGCTGAAGATATGCACAACTGTTCCATGTACAAGGGCCAAGCTAACTCAGTTTGCATCAACACTTTTGGTGGTTTTGAATGTAACTGTACTCAGGGATGGCAAGGAGATGGAGTTTACTGTACAGATGTTAACGAATGTGTTAATGGTTCCGTTTGTGGCATGAATCAGATTTGTAGGAATGTTCCAGGAAACTATTCATGTTCTTGTAGAGATGGCTGGACATCGCGTGGCCTAAATAATGACGAGTGCCAAGACGTGGATGAATGTAGGCTCGGATTAGACGACTGCGATACTTTTGCGACTTGTACGAATACAAACGGAAGCTTTACGTGTGAATGCTTGCAAGGATTTGAAGACAAAAGTAGAAGTTGTACGGAGTACCAATGCAGAAATCACACCAACAATGAAAGTGAGGCAAATCCGAACACAACTTCACAAAGCGTCTGTGCTTGTATAGGCAAGTACTCAGACGCCGGAAGAAAGTGCGAAGACATAGATGAATGTAAGTGGGGCATTTTCGATTGTCCGCCATCCGGCCCGATATGCCAAAATGTGATTGGTGGCTATGAATGCAAATGCGATGCTGTGAGCAACTCATCTTGTGATCCTGTGAACCCATGTGAATCCGGTAACGACACTTGCAATGAAAACATGACCTGTATTGCTGTTGGTATGGAGCATTACTGTGTATGCCCAGAAGGGTATACTGAAGATCAAAACGGCACGGCGTGCATCGATGTCAACGAGTGCATTAATCCGCAGTTTTATGGATCTTGTAATGCTAATGCTGACTGTGTCAATCTTGATGGTGGATTCGAGTGCAAGTGCCGATCAGGGTTCTTTCAAAGTGGGGAAGCCTGTTTCGAAATTGACGAATGTGAAGGGACTATCAAACAGACCCTTAAAGGTCGACTGGAAGAGTGTAAAGCTGGTGTGTGCTCTTTTGTTGAAACCTGTGTTTATCGCAACGTGTCAAATAATGGAAGCAGGTTAAATCAAAGCACGTTGGTTTGTGCCTGTGAGGAAGGTGATAATCTGAAAATAGACTGCATCGAGGCTTTTGTAGACGTCATTGAAGCCGGAAAAAACTTCACAACTGTGGTTTCCATTCCCTGGTATCTTGCAGTGAACGCAAGCGTAAATGCAACCACGTATGACCAGACTAAATATGTCCATAACTGTACGGACGAAGCAACCTGCAAGAATACAGCAGGAAAGTACGAATGCATATGTATAGAGGGATTTGAAAGCAACGACGGAGGTTGGAACTGTCACGATACTGATGAATGCCTTTCAAAAGACACCTGTCACGCTAATGCCTCCTGTTTTAACACAGTTGGATCCTTTTACTGTGAATGCAAATCGGGATTTACTGGAAATGGCGTCAATAACTGCTCTGACGTTGATGAATGCTCTCTTAAAACTGCAAACTGTACCCTTACCTCATTTTGTGTAAATACAATGGGAGGTTTTAACTGTTCATGTTTGGATGGCTACCATCGAAACAGAACCTCGTTATGCGAAGATTTAGATGAGTGTTCGAGCAGGGATCTCAATCAGTGCCACCCAAGGGCGTCTTGTCGCAACACCATTGGTGGGTATAACTGTAGTTGCATGGTAGGTTACTCAGGGGACGGTTTCAAATGCTCAGACATAGATGAATGCAGCGCTGAGGGGATTACGTGCGGAGAACACGCCTATTGTTACAATACGCTTGGTTCTTATAGATGCAAATGTGACCCGGGCTGGTCAGGTGATGGACAAAGCTGCACCAACATCGATGAGTGCTCCCTTAGTCTCCACACTTGTATCGAGAATTCATACTGTACTGATAACCAGGGAAGTTATACGTGTTCCTGCCACAAAGGATGGAAACGCCAATGGTTTGAGCCGTACGGTAGATGTTCCAGGTGTGACCCAGCCACGTTCTGTTCTGGCCATGGTCAATGTTTGCGGAATGGCACTTGTGATTGCCTTAGCCACTACAGCGGTCACAACTGCTCAGTATGTAGACCAGAGGTGCGCTGCTCGGGCCATGGAACCTGTGACTTTAATGGGAACTGTTACTGCGATTATGGCTGGACAAGACAGCCACTGGACTGCAGTGTTTGTTTACCAGATGAGTTGTGCAGTAGTCATGGTACATGCAATTATGATTTGATGACTTATGAAAACCAGTCTTGCTTTTGTAATGACGAATACTTTGGAAATAACTGCAGCAGAGGTAAGAAGGTTACATTCTTTTTACTTTCGCTGTGAATTCGATTTTATTTAACCCAAGTGGTCAAAATTTGGCTTTCCTTAAAAATTATCCGAAAAACCGTTTGTGTGTCAACTGTTGGTCACGCGTCTTGATGTCTCAAAGGCAACCATGTTTTCAAAGGCAATTTTATCCAAATTGAGTCTTTTTCTAGCTTAATTTTCTGTTTCATATCGAATTTGGTTGTTTTGACATTTTTTGTATTCCTATTTTTTCCTCCTATATTTGAAATCAATTTAGTGGCTAGAGATGATGGACGTTTTGAAATGCCTGACGTTATTTTGTTCTTTTTGACGCCACGATTGGCACGTGATTCTCTCAAAAGTAAACAGTTTCTGATGCCAATACTTAGTAAATATGTTTAAAGGCCCTAGACTAACGAAAGAAAAAAAGGGTAGGCAAAAAGCCTTTAATGTAACTACTAATGGTTTTAATGAATAAATTACAGCTTGCCCCATTACGAAAGGTGAAATCTGTGGACCTCATGGCTATTGCAACCGTAGTCCACGTGCAGTCCAACCCTGCGTTTGCTTCTCAGGATATCAATGGAACGACACTGCTCTCTCCTGTGTGGATTCCGACGAGTGCCTCCTCAACTTGCACGATTGCTTGCCACCAGCCAAATGCGTCAACACGCCAGGGTCGTATAAATGTGAGTGTCCTTCCCTCGTGGGGTGGTCCTTTGATGGCAAAAGCTGCAAAGATACTAACGAATGCCAATACCCAAATGTGTGTGACCAACAAGCTTCGTGCGTCAATTACCCAGGTGGATTCAACTGCAGTTGTAATTTGGGCTGGCGAGGACAAGGGTCTCATCCTGTATGTTTCGACATCGATGAATGTGCGGAAGAGATTGACAAGTAATATTTACTTTTGTGTAATGTTAACTGTTCTCTAAGCTGTTGAACTGCCTGTGAGTTTTGTTTCCTAAAAGCATTTTTTTTTTAATATGGGAACGTTGACGTTGACGTTAGCCCAAATTGTAAGACAATACTTAAAACAAAGTTCAGGTTGAGATTCAGTATATTATGACAACCTTTGAAGTGAACAGCATGAGCTCTGGTAAATTGCAAAACTTGCGTCTTTGCAGTGTAATACTCAAATGCTTCCAGGGACACTGGAACATAATTCATGAAATTTTTGTGGCAGTTATTAAAATAATTTTACCAGGCATGCCACATTCAAAATTGTGCAACGTTTTAAAAACGGAAGGACTAATGGGTTCCCTTTGTAAGCATTTCAGAAAAGGAAAATAGAGGCATGAATTTAGTTTCTGTTTGTATTTAAACTTTGGTTATGCATTTACAGGTTCCACAAAATGCAAAACACAGTTTTTCTTTTCAGATGTCCTATTCCATCGCAATGTATTAATACCCCTGGAAGCTATTACTGTATGTGCCATCCAGGCTGGGAGAAAGTCTCAGAATTCCAGTGTGTTGACATTGACGAATGTAGACGGGGAATTCATGGCTGTGATCCACACTCCTCTTGCGTGAACTCGCCCGGAAGTTGGAAGTGTATATGCAACAAAGGGTGGTACCCAGACCCTAAGGATGCCCGTTTACCCAAGTGCAAAGACATCAATGAATGCGTAGAAGTTCCAAATTCTTGCCCGGTGCAATCGAAATGTGTTAACACTGAAGGTTCGTACCGTTGCAGCTGTTTGTTAGGCTGGAGAAACCGAGGCCTCTATACTTGCATCGATATCGACGAATGTAACGTGTGGTACTACCAATGCCCGTCAAACTCACGCTGCAAGAATACTCCGGGTTCCTACGAATGCCACTGTAATACTGGCTTTAGACCACGAGTGACCACTTCAAGGTGCCATGACGTTAATGAGTGCGCAACAGGACATTACTCGTGCTCTTCAAATGCTTATTGCGTCAACAACTTTGGCTCTTATACTTGCCAGTGCAACCGCTGCTACTACAAGTCTGGCAACCAGTGTAAACGTAAGAAGCTTTATTTCAGCATTATTTCTTTCTATATACTCGTAGTGTATCGTAAAATCTGCCATATAATGTCAGTGCGGGCAATGCGTTTTATAATTGTCTTTGCCAGCGCTGCCATCACATTCCTAGCAACCAATATACACATAAGCAGCTGTTTGCAACTCTGCGGCTCCACCCAGAAGCCTTATCGAATTTGATAATCGTAATTAATGTCATGTAAGCTTTGTCACATACTCTCAGGAGACTGCAATTTACTTATTTATTTATTTATTTATTTATTTTCTCGACTTTATAATAGAAATGTTTGCCATGTCATATATGGTGTTATACGTGGCAGCTGTTGCACTCCTGGCCCGGGTCGTTCGAATGGTGGATAACGGTATCCACCGGATAAATCTCTATCCAGCGGATAGCGTGGTTTGCTTTGTTAACACCTATCCACTGGATAGCGATTTATCTGGTGGATAGCGTTATGCAGTCTTCGAACAACTGAGGCCTACTATATTTAGAAACTACTCGGTTCCATGCAGGATTTTTTCAGCCTGAATTATTCTGTTATTCCGATTCTGTTAGTCTGTTATTCCGATTAGAGCAGTTTTAAATTAATCGTGCCAAGTAAAGATTGCACAGACAATTCTTTGAGCCTATATAATCAAAACTCAAGGCAAATACACATAGCCGACGTGTGCCCTGTTTTTCCTTGTTTTTTTTGTTGTTGTTTTCATTGTTGTCGTTTTGGTTTGCTGTTCTTAAGCCAATCACTTAACCCTCGGACGTACAAGCTAACTCATACCCCCACCGTGGTACAAGGGGTGGATGGAACCCCCCTCTTGGTTTTCGTTCTGTTAAGGCGGAGCGAAATAAACTTACATTAATTAGATAGCCCTGAGCTTGGTCTACTAAGTCATTAGATTATGAGCTCGAGATTTCAATCGAGTGATAGTTGACTATCACGCATAGAAATCGAGAGCGAATAATTTAAATGTTTTAGTATAAATTTACGAGTTTACGAATTTACGATTTACGTTATCTAAATCCTCTTCACAGACACTTCGCAAATGCCAAGAAGCGGCCGTCATTTTGCTAAGAAGGGCACACTGCCACGCTACTCACTATCTATCACAGAGTAGATAGTAAGTAGCGAAGCCAATCAGAGAACGGCATTCGTGATAGAACGCTAATAGATTTATATAAAAAGATGATATTTTTATTTTTTCTTTTGGTAATGACTTCATATGCCGTCAAATAACGTCAATTGACCCGCCATCTTTGATTTCACAATTTTTTCAAAAAGTCAACAAATAATGATTAACACGAAATCAAGCCAGAATGCTGATGAAATGTACGAGTTCATGAATTTCCGGAATTTGATGAAGAAAACTGGAAATAAACTACAGAATCATCTCAAAAAAAGTTGAAATTTGGAATTTGATGGTTGCCGTGGCAACATCAAAAATGATGGACACACAATTGACATATCGAAATTTCCGCAGAGAATGATGGAACAGCTAGTGAAAGTTTCAGCCCCTTAGAGTAAATCTTTTTTCAAAACTTTGAAAAAAAACCTTGTGGGGGATGGGAGGTGGCATCCACCCCATCCCCCACCCCTGTACGTCCGGGGGTTAACGTAGCAATGCAAACCCAAGCATTGAATTACTTTCGGTACTCAAGAGAAAACCCCCTCTATCTTGTTTTTTTTTTTTTATTTCCTGCAGCAAAATGCCGTCGAGAGAGTCACTACTACTACGTTTATGTCGTTACATACTATACTCAATATTACTCCACAAGCTGTGGTTTTCTTGGACTGAAAAGATGTAGAAAATCCAGGTGGGTAAATATTATTGACTTCATCTTAAACTTAAGGCAACATTCTGGTCTACTATACTAGCCCAATTTAATTGTCGCCCAGATCATACCAGGATTGGCAACTACCTGGTTTCCTGAGAAAAAAAATCCGCAAGTTATATTGAGAAAATGTAATGGCAAGCTCAACGTCAAAATTAAAATAATTTGATTCATGCTTGGATCGGATTCCGTGTTTTCATGTTGAAATAAGCAATTAATAAGCTTGTGCTTATACCTTCGCCCAGCAACGTCCAGCTGAAAGCTAGGGATTACTTTCCAGGGTCTTTTGTGCAATTTCTTTGAACTAATCACCGAAAAGTAAGATGTCGATTTAGCCTCATCTAAAGGCGGAGTTCCTGATTACAGAGCTATTGATTGCAATAAGTTAAACAATATTCCTGACTGCAATATTCCTGATTGCAATGAATTAACTATAAGCGCTTGCGCTCCTTCGGTGCGCAGGAGTTCCGCTACTAAATCCAAACTTCAGTTCCCAAACTCGGTTGTTTTTCTTTGGACCCCCTTTAACAATTCGGTTAATCGCTGTTAATTTCTATGAGGTGATAGTTAATGAGGCGGAAGACCAAGTCAACTTTCACGTCATGGAAGTCGACCAAATATAATCTAATTGTTTAAGTACAATTCGCACTAAATTTCCCTCAAATAACGATTTCCAAACATTTCTCGACGTAGTATTCAGCACAATCGCGCGGAATGAATTGTTATTAAGGTCAATGTGCTTTCATCAGTGTTCTTGCTCAGCCAATCGCATTGTAGTATTTGCATTAGTATGCGAGCAGAATTCTACTAATTTGCAGAATCTATAAGTTCACTAGTGTAAATGGTGCAATTTGATTGGCTGAGGTACATGCATACAATCAGCCATTTGCGAAGTTGTATCAGGGCCATAACAACTAAGGCCCTGTCCACATGTATCCGGATATTTTTGGATCCGGAACTTTTTCTTTCCGGATATGGCTTCCGAACACACGCATCCGGCGAATTCGGCAGCGAATCCGGATATTTTTGAATCGACTCCCCAGCGTGGAAGAAAAACAAATCCGCAACGAATCCGATAACGTGTGGACGGTGAATCCGGATATTTTCGATTCCGATGACGTAGCAAAATCCTGTCCAGTCTCTTACCGAACAATAAACCAATATCGCGGCACAACGTGGAGGCCTAGTTTCTCTAGGGTGAATCCGCATACCATCGCATGCGCGTGGACAGGCGAATTCGATTTGAATACGCTACGTGTGGACGGGGAAATTTTTGAATCGGGAAAGAAAAAGTCGCGGATTCAAAAATATCCGGATACGTGTAGAGAGGGCCTAAAAGTTCCCAGGGAGAGTGAAAACGCTCATCGAATCCGGCTTCAGTAAGAGTGTACAACGCACACCGGATGCGTAAAAACTGTTTCTAGGATAGGGTAGAACTTCAAATCCGCATATTGTATGTTCCCTTTCTACTAATGGAAGGATACAGCTTATTTTCTTGTTTTATTTTTTGACCGTAGGAGAAAGCAAACGAACAAAAAGGTCCGAAGAGAACGTAAGGTTTGGGTCCCAAACTATGGCGGGGCAAAGTGCCCCTGCTCATAAATGGTCGTTGAGCAAAAAGAAATCGTGGATCCTCGTGTAATATCGAGCTACAATCTAAAATCAATGATGTAATACTATTAAGCTGGTAACATAGTTAAGTGTTTTTGAGTTTCATAGATTTTTGTACTTTATCATCTCTGCTGATTAAAATGTTTGATTTCTTTTTCCAATATCCTCCCTTTATATCGAGGCTATAAGGAGATTTCGTAAAATATGTTTCAAAATCGTCACAAATAAGTTGTAGGTAGGTAGATAATCAGCCTTATATAATCATGGTACAATTCATCAGCTTTAAGCAAACAATTCATAAATAACTAATCCATACCTAATATAATGTAAAATGTTTAAATAAAAAGCTGCTTTCCACGAATCCTTATTGTGCTTCTTTGAGTAGACTTCAATTGCCCAACTGATTCTGCTTCCCCTATGTCACAAGGAAGATTGTTCCAAAGAATGGCGCCTCTATAGCTAAAGCTATTTTTTTCATAGTTTCTGCGAGGTAATTGGAACATTGAATTTATCCTCTCCGCAAAAAAAATGTCAGCTTATGGAGTATCATGGATGAAGAGCANAAAATAATCAAGTAATCACAGTTAATCACGAAAGTTGGCCATACCTCACATCAATAAAGTTCTTATCTTATCTTATCTGGTGGCCGCTGGGTTTATTTGCCGCAATTTCAGCGCAACCCCACAAAAATGTGCCCAGCGAGTGCTGCCGGTTCCTGTTTAGATATAAGATAAACCCCACGACTTGGTTCTGAGAATGTCGTGGGTATTTCTTTTGTTCTCTTTGCTGTATCCATAGGGGTTTCCCGAGGGCAGTTTCACGGTAGGAATAAAGGTCACACACAAAACATAGACTCCCCTTGGGTAAAGTCCTTCTTTCGCGTCACGCACGACGGACTAAGCGAAAGAGGGACTACTCGTAATCTATGGGCAAAACCGCAACTATAGACCTAAGCCGGCGAGTGAATTTACGCGTAAACGTGTGATATTGTTATTGTTTACAATATTAATGTGTCGGCAACTTCTCATGTGGCCAGAATATATATCTCACCAGCCCAGGCGGTCTATTTGTATATTGGAAATTGGTCTGTTCGAGAAACAATTAGGGTTAATTGTACACACGAACACATCGGACTTTTTAGTAAATTCCACGAGTGGCTGCCGCAGCCACAGTGACTCCTGACTCCACACTCACTCCTAAAACAGAATAATTTGAGAATTTTTGTGATTTTGTTAGGTTCACTAAAATTGCATATATAGTTAGACATTGAGCAAGGCGCAGAATTTCTGCATCGTTGTTGCGTTCAGAAGATTTGAGTATGTTTAGTCATTGAACAAGGTGCAGAATTTCTGCATCATTGATGGATGGGTTCACTAAATTTACTTATATAATTACGCATTGAACAAGGTGCAGAATTTCTGCATCGTTGTGGGGTTCAGAAGATTTGAGTGTGTTTAGTCATTGAACAAGGTGCAGAATTTCTGCATCATTGATGAGTTCACTAAATTTACATATATAATTACTAATTGAACAAGGAGCAGAATTTCTGCATCGTTGTTGGGTTCAGCAAATTTGAGTGTCGTTGAACAAAGTGCAGAATTTCTGCATCGTTGTTGGGTTCAGAAGATTTTAGTGTGTTTAGTCATTGAACAGGGCGCAGAATTTCTGCATCATTGATGGGTCCACTAAATTTACATATATAGTTACACATTGAACAAGGTGCAGAATTTCTGCATCGTTGTTGGGTTCAGCAGATTTGAGTGTCGTTGAAAAAAGTGCAGAGTTTCTGCATCGTTGTTGGGTTCAGTAGATTTGAGTGTATTTAGTCATTGAACCAAGTGCAGAATTTCTGCATCATTGATGGGTTCACTAACTTTATAATTACACATTGAGCAAGGTGCAGAATTTCTGCATCCTTAATCGGCTTGATACCACTGAGAACTGTCATTTTACTCTGACTATTAAATAGACCCGGTTAAATAAAGGCGTTTCTTCATGAACCAGTTTAGTTGTTGGTGAGAATATTGACTTCCACAATGAACACAGTGCAGGCTCCGACAAATATGCATGTGGTTGACCGAAAATGCTAAGTTTGGAAAAACCCATTTTAGTTTGGAACGCGTTTCTGTTTTCGTGACGCATTGGTGTGGATGGTAGAATAGGCCAAACCGTTGAAACAAAGCTGCGTTTTCAATTTTCTCCGACGTAGTGTGGACGGGACGTTATTGAGCAGAACACTGAGGAGTTCTGCACGTCAGTTTTGAAACTTTGTGCATTTCTTACCCATCATTTGCAAAACAACAACTTGAAATGACTAAGTTCTACGTATTTTGGAGAACGTGAACCGCAATGAATGCTGTTATTGCATATCTAGCCTGAGCAAGTTTTTAGCCGACAGACGTACTGAGCAGAACAACAAAAAATGTTTCGTTTTTGTTAACCAACCATTCAAAACATAACTAGATTCCAGGCCTTAAACGCGCCATCTGAGCAAAACGTTGCACGGTTCGGGTGTTTACACGAGTCCGTACGAAATATGGTACCGTGCCGATCAAAAAGTTGACCTCCTTTCTTCAGGTCCCAAACTTGCACACTTAGCCGTTCAAAAATTTGGGCAGTTCCGCCGGTACCGTGTAAACGCATGCTGGAACCATGCAAACTTTTGTCCGCGCAAACATTTGTTCGGACCCGTGTAAATGGGGCCTGAGATTGGAATATGACGTCTTATAAGAAGCTCAAGCTCGCCATTCGCGCCAAACCCTTCGCAAACTTAATTGAGATACCGTCTTTATTCTACCCTGAGGTTTCCTTTTCGTTCTCATTTATTACAAAATGGCTGAAATGCAAGCTAATAAGATGGTAAAACGTGGCACCTACTGCCGGGAATGGCGGAGCGTATTTTCAATTGGGGGAGGGGAATGGGGGCTTACAAGCGCCAGAGACGCTGCCTTGTAGGGGGTCTGGAGATATTTGTAAAATTATTATTTTATGTAATTTTTGCTTGAAATTGGGGTTTGGGGCTAAAGCCCCATCCCCCACTCCCCCTCCCCTCATAGCCCTCCGTCTCCATGGTCCCTGTCTGCGTAATCCCAGGCTAAATTTACCACCAATGCTGATTTCCTTTCGTTCATTTTATTCAAAACACGAAATATCTTGACGCTATTTACACGATTATTTTCCAAAATAGACAGCGCCTGTCATTAGGACCACCTGGACTTAACAGATACAATTTTTTATCACAGCCTCCAATAACACCAAGACACATCTTGCCACTGACACCACTGCGTTTATGTTCATATGTGAATGTTTTCATTCCTTCGACGAGGCCGGTTTCGGTTTCTTCAAACAGGAAATCATTACTAGTTGAATTTTTACATCCATCGTATTGCTGTGAACATAATTAAAATAAAGTACAAGTTAATTTACAGCACCCCTTAAATTTACCCCGGGATTACTGAATGCAATATATCCACGTTCAACGGTGCAGTTTTATTGAAGTATGGACTTCCATACCAGAACTTCGGCCATATCTCACGACCAATACAGTGTACAAAAGTAATGCAAACGAAATTCGACGAAATTCGGGAATTTCGGGGGTTTTCGACGCAAGTGGACGAAATTTCGTTTCGAACGAAGCTTCAAAAACCTATTATTTCTGCTGATGCAAGAGTTTTTATGCAGGGTTTCCCGTTTCTATCAAGTCTTTCACTGTCGCACTCATTAAGTAAAAAAAGTGCAAATAACTATGACAAGCTTCGAATACGTTTAAATTTAAGTTGCTTTTACCCACCTCGAATCGCGGAAGATTCGTACCATTGATGACCTTCAATGCATAGGTAGTACCGCGTTTATCGATGAATTGAATGCACTTCCTGTTTGTACTAGCGTCGACGTCCACAACTGTAAATCCTTCAATATATAAAATACTCTTATAAGCAACCACTGGAAGTTCAGTTTTGTAAGTTGAAAATCACATAAATGATTCTTTTTTTCTTATCTTGTAGAAAAATGGAGGATTGTCCGGTTAAATACTTCTGATCCTGACTACCCTATATTCATCATATAATACATACTTCCAAGCCGATAAATTAGATTCTGGGAATCGGGTATATTTCAGGGCCAGAAATATTCAGATATTCTGACGTAGCATGATAGACAAAAAATCAACCTGTATGATACTGAGATAGAGCATGGTACCGTAAAATTCCATAGATAACTGAGAAACAAACTAAATGAATTAAGAGTATCGTGAGATTCGTGGGTAAAATATACATTCATTGTTTTCTTAATCGACGTTGTCCTCGGCGTTGACGTCGTCGTTACAGTCCCCTGCAGCTGCAGCTGTATTAAAGGGGCGATGGTTATTCCTAAGAATTCTTTTAGTAGTATACTCCTCCAAAAGGAATCCTACCCCATTTTACTAATACTTCTTATTAACTTACTAGTCCTTTTGTCTGTGGTGCTTGTTCCAGTTACTGATACGTCAAATTGGCGCTTCACAGCCGAAGAAATGTTACGTCTGCCTGTGTGAATCTTAAAAAGATGGCCTCCACCACATTCTCTTTCATATATGAAAAGTGAGCTGAAGCAAGCACTTTGTGACTTGGTCTCCACTGAGCCCACCAAGAAAGTATACCCGGTTACAATCTACAAATAAACGGATGCACATGTTTCAGTCAAGCCCGTGCCACTGAAGGGGTGTTTTCAGAACATGGTATAGATAAGAGAAAACTTGTTTCAATACACTGCCAAGGACCGAAATCCTTCTCATTTACCCATCTTAAGCTACAAAGCATCAATTATGGACTGTTCAAGTGAAATGACTGGCTAACGGGCTATAAATGTTAATGTTGTGGTTCAAAATAACCCTTGGTACAATTTGGTATTTTCCTTTCAGCAGAACTAACGAAAATATCAAATTTGTACCGAAGGTAAAAAAGGTAGAAGAAAACTAGAAATGAAAACTATAACACAAATTGCTTTAAATTATTTCTTTTTCAAAGGAAAATATATACTTACGAGCAAAATGTACGGTGCTTTATCCATTTAGTCCACTTTCTTAAAAGTTGTTTTAATCAGGTCAATGGCTATGTCGAAATGCATGGTTCCCAGTACCGTCGTTATTTATACCAATGTGTTATGCAAGTTTCACAGTCAACGTAACGTTTGCTATTTATTATATTTAGGCCAATCTACCAGCACGTACAAGGTACACCTAGCAACCAATTGAAAGGAAACAAAACTGCTGAATAATGCCCTTCAAAACGGCGTCAAAACCCGATTTAGAACGCTCACGAATCCAATATCAAGACTTCAGAAATTAAAAGTTCGATTTAGTTCGATTGT